CCCAGACAGTACAATGATCGCCACCGCGCTCATTTCCAGTACTATTTGCATGACTGAACTTTCAAATAAGCCAAAAGTAGCCTGTACACAACTTAAAAGGCTTTACTGGGTTATTTCTTCTCGATTTATACCTAATTAATTTTGTAATATTTTCAGACCATTACGCGATGTAAATTTCGCAATAAACCTCACGCAAGCAGCGGAGTTTATCGGTAGATTTTGTCACATATTTCACGGTTATTCAAACAAAAACTTACATATTCCACATATCAACATTGCCCAAATCCATTCGCGGTAAAAACGACGGCGAAAAAGCGTTGATCTCTCTCAAAAATCGTTTTGTTGTACCTCGAAACGACTCTTCGCCATACATTTCCTTTGAGCGACTAGCGATATTTGTCCCCTGACGATCCCACAGTTCTTCGCGCAAACACGGGTATCCGATTACTGGCAACTCATTAATTCCTCAAATAGTGGCTATTTTCCGCTAAACGTCACGTGACATGCCACGTGACCTGTCAGAAGTATCAGTAGCGTCGCGCACAGTTTTTGAAAATAGATTACGTCACCAGAGACCCCCCACATGACACAGACAAGAATCCGGTAGAAGGTTTTGTTATGGGCGCGTTGTATTCTGAACCAGAAAATCAGGCAAAAAAGAAGGATTGGTGGTCTAGGTTCTTGCTTAGCTTAAATAATGTTAGAAAGCAAACACTGCTGCCGTGGGTAATGTAAAACGGATTCAAGGTGTCCAAAAAAGAGCCTGAATGTCACAAATTGCTCCAGGATCTTACAAAGCTGCAGTGACAGTCGGACAGATCTAGAAACCATCAGAAATTAGAAGTCGAGAACTTTTAGCGCGGCGGTTGTGACTAGCCGATTAGAATACTTCACAGGGAAACGTATTACGATGGATCGGAAGAATCTTATCCATTGTTAATCGTGGCCTTAAGAGAAGACTTATCAGCTGACCTATTGCCAAAAATTCCCAAATTTGTACAACCTGAGCCGTCCACTCAAGCAAATACGATAGAACAGGAGGACATAATTATTATCCCTGAGACAATTCCAAATGCATGGCAGAATTAGGTTTACTGTGCAATATAGAGGACCTAGATTTTAATAGAGCCATTTATTCGACCACATAAACGAATCTGTGACTGTTAGCAGGCCTCAACTGCATATATTTCATAGATAAATATGGTCCGATACGTGTAACATAAATAGCACGGGCTAAAACTGTCTTTGTATATGCCAAGACAGAGTGGGCCAATTTCATCACGGCAAGGCAACCAATCGGATCGAATCTATGGCATTTCTTTGCTGGCTTGCTGGCTTTCTTGTAAGTAATACACCTGGATGTCGAGTACAATCGTATGATCTACTAAGATCTAATAAGGACGTAACGACGCATAAACAGCCTTTGTATTTACCATCATACTTTGCCGTCCTCTTTCAATCTCTGTATTATTATTATTCCAAGGTACGTGTTGGGAGTTTTCTCTAACATTTGAGGCCATCAGCGCGCGAAATTACTCACTGAGTATTGAGCTGCAGCGCTCGCGAGCGCCGTTGTCCCATACGTCGCTTTCAAAGAAGTAACGCATGAAATGGTTTGTTTGTCTGAGTCACACCGGGGATTAAATTTTCGTGACGCCATTTGTGCGCGACGCTATTCTAGTTTAAAATGTTCAGGACGTCAAAACCCAACTGTGTGCTATATCTGGTTTCATTGCCATTTATACCTTCAGAAATATAACTAATAAATTATTTTCTCCGGTAAAAGCCTCGAGAAATACTACATTACTACATTACTACATTACTACATTACTACATTGACAGGGCGTTTGAGGAGGGGCTTCAAAGCTTAATTTAAATAGGATTTTTCAACTTGAAAAGAAAATCAGGAGCCGGGAGTATGTAGTTTCGAGTTTTGAGTTTCAAGACACTATACTGCACATCTGAGCGAAACGCTACACAGCATACATAACAATACCAACAAACAGTAGAGACAATACAAAGAAACAATACATAAGTAGATACGTTCTTTGTTTCTGTGTTTTCATGACTTGAAACTGGAATAACTCCGCTTGACTCTTCAAGCAGTTTCGAGTGACTGCCGCTGTCCTGATTTTTGTTCTTTTTGGAGTGCATGCTTGCTGTTTTACCTATTTACTTAACTGATTGATTGATTGATTGTTTGATTGATTGATTGATTGATTGATTAACCGACAGACCGATCGACCGACCGACCGACTGAATGACTGAATGACTGAATGACTGACTGACTGACTGACTGACTGACTTGACTGACTGACTGACTGACTTGGCTGACTGACTGACCGACTTACTTCCTACTTGATTGATTGATTGATTGACTAACTCATCATCATCATCATCATCATGTTATTTAGTAGTCAACAACTTAGTTATCATCATTTTATTTAGTAATGCAGGACTGACTGACTGACTTACTGATTGATTGATTGATTGATTGACTGACTGACTGAGTGATGACTGACTGACCGATTGACTGACTGACCGATTGACCGATTGACCGATTGACCGATTGACCGATTGAC